GACAAATTTTGTCACACTGTATTTATACTTAAAAAATTATTTAAATTTTCCTTTTTTGTCACAATATATCAGTGTTGTAAACAAATATACACATGGATATTTAAATATATTTATGTATATAAGAGTATGTATATGTATGTATGTATGAAAAATGTGTTTGTATATAAAATAATAATTTTTATTTTTCTTTTTTCATTAAATTTGTTATTATTATTATTATTTTTTTTTCTGTATTTCCATTCAATTATTTTTTGTTTTTCCCTTATTGTTATATTTTAATTTGTTTATTGTTATTTTTCCTCATTTAATTTTAACATAAGTATATAAGTACAATTGCACACATTAACAATCCTCAACTTTTTTTTTTATATTTTCCTCTTCAATAATTATTTTGTTTTAAAAGTTTTTTTTTCTTTATTTAATTATATTCATTTTTAAATACATTTATATATATATATATATATATTTTATTTAAAATTAGTTTGTATTTTATTTTTCTTTTTTTTAATATTTCTTTTACAAAATATGGCTTGTAGCCTTAATATATGCAATCTTTTATTTTTAGGTTTTTTTTCACAAATGTTTTTTTTTTTGAAATTTTTGGTTCTTTTCTACTACATAAAATGCAGGACGTTTAATACAAATATACAAACATATATATTAATTAATTTAAATATTGTATTTAATTATTTTGTATTTTTATACTTTGTTATTTGTTTATATATATAAATATGTAAATACATTTTAATATTTGATATTATTTTATTTTATATGAAAACTTAAGAATTTTTTAGTGAATTAAATGGACTTATAATGAAATAAATTCAACTACAAGGAAAGTAGCAATTGACTAATCGAAAATGAGCAACTAGCGAACTTAAAACTAGCTGATTTAAAATTTAACATTTAAGATGGAAATATTAGGGCATCTGCTCTTAAAAAATTAAATTAAGAATTATTAAAAAAATATTAAGTTTTCACGAATTTAAGCGATATTTTATGAATAATTAGAATTAAAAGAATAAATTCTTTGAAATTTCTCATTAGTTTTAATGTTTAACTCCTAAATGATACAATCTGTAATGTTATTTGTATTTTATATTATGTTAAATGATGAATAACATTTTAAAAATAATAAAAATCGTAATAAATTTAAAAGTATTGTAATCAATATGAACAATATTGTAATTAATTATAATTATTATAATTAGAGTTAGAAAAATAATAATATTGAAATATTATTATGATTTTGAAATAATATTGATGAAAATTTTGTAATTAAACATAATTTAAAATTTGAAAACTCAAGAGGGATTTAGCCTCAACAAATTATTTCTTTTCAGTTTGTTTTTATTCACTAAATTAGTATTTCAGTAAAATTTTAGTAATTTCATTTTATATTTTAAATTGTAGGTAAATTTAATATTTTTATTATTTTATATTATTTTAATGCAAATACTTCTTTAATATTATTATATATTTTTTTATTATTTTGCATAATATTATATTGGGCATATTGTAAAATTGTATTATATTACTTTTATATTGAAAAATACAAATTTTAATTATTCATATAAATTATTCATGTACTTACAATATAAATATTTCATTTATGCAAATATAGTTTTTATTGTATAATTATTTTTTTTTATTAAATTTAAAATTAATTCTCTTAAGTTTGTTTTTATACATTTGTATTATTTATTTTTTCTTTTTTTAGTATTTTAAATTTTATTTTAGTCTTTAAATTGATTAATATTTTATAATTATTAGTATGTATTTGAATACATAATAATAATGGTTTAATTCATACATATATTATGTATAATTTTATATACTTGTATTTGTATATTCATTAATTTATCTTAAATTTTAAGATTTTCGTTTTTAATTATTTCAAATCATAAAGTTTTTTGTTTATTTGTTTTTCAAAATTTCATATTTTAAATTATTTTCAGTTTTTATTTGTTTATTTCACAGCAAATAATTTTTTTTTTGTTTTTCTCTTTTTTTTTTAAATATTAAATTACAATAGTATTTTTTTTTTAATTTTAATAATTTCTGTGTGTCTCTGTGTAATATTAATAAGTTTAATTATTTATTTTTTTTTCCTATATAATTTTTAAAATTATTTTAAAATGGCATTCGTTCATATTACAATTAATTAAAGAACATTTTTGTTATTTTTTTTTTGATTTTATTTGGAAAGGAATTTCGAACTGAGCTTTTTTTTACATGGCACAAATATATAAGGTTATTTTCTTTTAATTTTTGTGATTTTATTATTTTTTTTTTTATGAAATAATTGAAAAAAAAAATAAAGAAAAGTTAATTTAAGCAATTAAAATCAATGAAATTGAAAACATTTTAAAATTTTTGTTAAATAAATTTAATTGTCCTAAATTGTAAATATAATGAAAATTAATAAAATTATATTAAAAATAGATTTTAAGAAAATTATTATAAGTTTATCATAATTATTGAAACTAAATTTAAAATTAAATATGAAAATAGCAATTATATCTTGAAGAATATTGATTTTAAATAATGATGAACCATAAAATATAATAGTTAAAGAATGTTAATAATTAGTTGTACTTTATCTTGTAATAAATAGTCTTAGTAATAATTTTAAAAATTACAAATCGAATATTATTCAAATAAATAATTATTTTAATAATAATTTTCAATATTATTAATATCGATATTAAGAGTTTTATATAAGAATTAATAAAAAATATATTATGGAAAGGAGTAGAAAAATTAATTATGGTAATTAGTAAAAAAAAAAAATTTAAATTATGGAACAAATTTAATTTTTTATTTTCATTCTTCAACTGACTATTGATGAAGCGATTGAAATGTTTGCTCAGTTCAATAAAACAAAATTTACAAAATAGTGAAAACAAAACAGATTTATTTAATTTTGTTTTTTAATTTTATAAATTGATAAAGGATCACAATATTAAAACTTACAATTTTTTAAATTATTAAAATTTCAGGAAGTGTTTCAATATTTTTATAATTTTTGTTTGCATTAAACATTTCTCTAAATTAGTTATTTAATTAAATTTTTTGTTTTATTTTTCTTCTAAATTACAATATGGTTCATTAAAACACCGCATTTAAAATTGTTTTTTTTTTTTTTAATTTTATTTTTTTTTCTATTTAGTTTTTATTTACAAAAACAATTTTTTTTTTTTCATAATTTCAAACAAGATTTATATTATATATATGTATATATATATATATATATATATAATAGGTATTTACTTATGTGTAAATGTATATAACATACTTTTCTATAACAAAATTTTGTGTAATTGTTTAAATTTTCTAATTTTATTTTTTTGCAAATTTGCAAAATGAATTTTTTTCTTTGTTTTGTCTACTATTGTTTAAAATAAAACTTAAGCTTAAACCAATTTTCACATACACGTAAATATATATATATATATATATGTATATTTATACATGTACAGGGTGTTTAATAGATACAAATTTGTATATGTATATATATATATATATAATTACATTAAGTTGTACGTATAATATAATTTTTCATTCATTTTGTTTTTTAATTATATTCAATTATAGTTTTCTTAATTTTAATAATTTTGTAACAAACAGAGATATGACACGATTGTTTTGTTTTTTTTTTTTTTTTCATTTTTTAAAGTTTTATTCATATAAATTTTTATTTTTCAAACATTTATAATGTACATTTAATATACATAATATATAATGTTTTGCTATAAATCATTTCTGTTTTTACAAAATGAAAAAAAGAAAAGAAATGAAAGTCTTAATAAATTAATTATACAATATTATAATTATTATGACAATTGATCCATTTAATTTATTTCTATATAATTTTTGTTTTATTTAAATTTAATTTATTTAAGGAATTTTAAATTAATATTTTTGTTAAATTTACTTTCTTACTAAAATATTTCTATGTTTTCTTAAATATCTGGTTTATTTTCATTTGTTTTAGTTTTCATTTTTAATTTATGGACTATTTCAATAATAATTAATTGTTTTTTTTTTTTTGTAAAATAGTTTTATGGATTATTGTAGTTGAAAAATATTTTTACTAAAATAAATCATTAAATTTCATTTAAATTTTAGGTTAAATGGGGTTGTTTTTTTCCCAAGTTATTAATTACAATAAATTTTACATTTTAAAAATTTAAATATAAAGTTATAAAAAATCAAATAATATTATAAAATATTGTATTTTTGAAATTTTAATTGAATCACTTAATTATTCTACTAAATAAGTAATATTTAATTATAAAAATAATTAAAAATCTATATTGTTACTTGTATAATTGTTTTTTCTTTTAATTTATATGAAACAAAAAATTTCGATACAAAATTGTTACCAAAAACTAGAAAATATGAATACAAAAAAAATGTTAGGGAATTTGTTAAATTTTCGCTATTCATGCATTTAAGTATTGTGAGAGGAAATATAGAATTGGTTAAATATAAAGGTTGATTATGTAGTAGATAAAATTATTGAAAATTGTTTTAGCGAGTTACAATTGGCAGGATCAATGTTAATCAAAATTCTTTATATATTGAGCCTAACTGTAGAGATATTAGAGTTTTTTTCTATTATAAATGAAATAATAAAAGTTTGCTTTTATCAAAAAATAAAAAAATAATTTTTACTTGGAAAGGAATTTCGAACTAAGCTTCCTCATTTATAAGTATATTTTAAATTTTATTTAAACTATTTTAGTAAATGGAAGAAATTTAATTGCAAGAATTTCAAACAAAAACAAAAAAATATTATTAAATTTCCTAAAAAATTTCACGTACATAAATTTTTAAATTAAATTCAAAGGAGAGTGAATACAAAATATTTTAACTATTGAAAGTTGTTACTGGGAAACTATTAAGAAAAGTTATTCATAAAAATATGAAAAATATTAACAATATAAAAATCTTAATTCTTTATAATACAGTTTTAGTTTTTATTTTTGATAGCAATTAATTATAAAGTATTTTGAAATTATTCTGAAAAAAATATGATGAATTTTATTTTAAATTAAGAATAAATATGTTCTTAATATAATAAAATTGTTAGTTAAAAGAAAATATTTTATAATTTGATTGACAAAAAATTTAAATGAAATTTAACAATTAATTTTTTTTTTTCAATAATTGCCTATGGTATAACAATTTTGGACTTTTCCTGCTAGTAGTATCTAAAACTATAAAACATATTTTTTTCTTCTTATTGGGTGAATTTATATTTTTTAAATTATTTTAATTTTCTTTATAATTTTGTTGATTTTTTACATTTTAAAATATTTTTAATTCTGTTTGTTTTAAAATTTTCTTTTAATTAATTAACAAGTTCAATTTGCGTTTTTTTATTTTTTTAAATTTTTTTTTTGTGTTTATAATTTTATTTCAAACAAATCACACTATTATTACTACAACTACTTAAATTCTGCTGCATAGTAGTGCAATTATTATTAATAATGCTACTATTATGATTATTAACGCTATTACTACAACTGCTGCTATTACTGCCATGATGTGAAATACTAATTTGTGGTGGTGGTTGCAAATAATTATTATTATTAATATGATGATGAATTTGTTGTTGTTGTTGCTGTTGTTGTATATTATTAATTCTTCTTTGAATATGATGTTGATAATTATTATCAATTTGATTAGCATTTGTGTTATTATTATTATTACAATGTTGCTGTTGTTGTTGATGTGTATAATGATTGTGATGATCATTATTAATATTGTTATTGCGATTACTATTACTATGGTGATTACTACTATTATTACTATTATTATTATAATTACTATTACTACAACTGCTGCTGTTACTATTGTGGCTTGAATATGGACTCAAATTTTGGTTTATATATTGACTATTATTATCATTATCATTATTATTATTATTATTAGTTGCATTATTATTATTATTACTATTATTATTACTATTATTAAAATGTAAACTATATTTCGAGCTCAATTGACTCATTTGAAATCCATTTTGATGATTTTGATGATTTTGTGTTGGATGAAGATGATTTTGACTTAAATTATTAACAACACCTAATCTGTTATTATTGTTGCTATTACTGTTATTATTACTGCTGCTATTACTGTTGTTGTTGTTGTTGTTGATACTATTATTATTACTATTGTTGCTACTATTACTATGATTATTATTATTGTTGGGACTGTTTATAAAACCATCACCATTAATATTTGTTGTATTAACTGATAATGTTTCCGGCTATGTTGACCAACCTTCTGATATACGCGGCCTTTTATGAGCTTGTGGTGAATCATAATCCGATAATTGTGAGCTAGGTGTATGTGTATGTCGTAAATCATTGGCTACTGGTGATGGTACATTTGTGGGCGTAATTGTACCTAAAATTTATTAATAGAAAAGAAAAAAATATTAAAAATTAAAATAATTAATATAAGAATAAAATGGTCAGTTTATTTAACATAACATTTTATATTAAAATATTATAATAGGATGAACATAATTTTAGTACAAAATCTTAATAGGTAGTAAAATGAATTTCTTTTATTATTAAATGAGTGTCATTGTACATGGTTTGTAATAGAAAATTAATTAAATATAGAAATGTTAAATAGTAATGAAAAAGAACAATCAAAACAAAAATTTATGCTACCTATAAATGAATTTGAATATGCACACATACATTATGTATGTACATAGATGTACTAAATACATTTATGAAAAGTAATTAGTTTTTAACAATTTTGAAATTATACTGAGTTCCTCTTGAGAATTTAATAATCAAATATAATTATAAAGAAAATTTTAAATGTAATTAATATTTAGGTTTTAAATTTTAAAATTAACACGATTTTTTTTTTTAATTTGAGGAGAAATTTAAATTAAAATTGATAAGACATTAAAAAATTTTGATTTTACATAATAATAAAATTTTAAGCTCGACAGTTCGAAAACCGAATAATTTTATTGAAAATTTTAAAATAAGACACATAAACCTTTATTGTGTTAATTAAATAACATGGAGTTTTATGCATACATAATCATAATGAAAGGACGAATGAAAAAAGGAAGCCTTAATTTAAGATGAACAAAATTTAAGTTACAAAAAAAAAAAAAAATTGCATATATTGCAGGCGTAAGTTAAAATTTTAATGAGAAAAAATAATGTATTTTTAAATATGAGTAAAAATTTAAAGCATATTACATAATATACATAATATGTACATTTATATTTACATATATAAATATTATACGAATATGTTTATATAAATTGTTTACATGAGTTTTAAGTATTAAGTATATATAATGAAAGTTATTTTAAATGAATTGAATAATTATTATTAATTTTTCGATTTTTTTTTTGTTTATCTACATTTATACAAATATTTTGTTAATTAAATTACTATTATTATTATTATTTTTTTGTTTTTTATTTCTAATTTACCGATTAAATTCCAAAAGCGAGAGGAACTCAGTGGGGATCTGTAATAGATTCATCACATTTTCCTTGTACTAAATTTTTTTGTTTTATTTTTTGTTTTATTAAGTTTTTTTCGTTTTTATAATATTTACGTTAATTGAGAAACGTAATAAGATTAATTAAAAAAAAAAAAAGAAGCAAAAAATAAGAAAAAAAAAAATTAATAAAATAAAATTATATTAATAATTAAAGTTATTAAATTTATTTAAAAAAAAAATTTATTAAATCAAAAAGAAAAAAAGATACACAAAAAATGAAAAGAATAAGAGAAAAATTAAAATGTATGATTTAAGAGAATACAAAATGAAAACCATTTTAAATTAAAATGAGTTAATAAAGACGAAATGAAAAAAGAAATGAAAAATATTTTGCGAATTTCAAAATATATTTCAAAATTTCCCTAATTAATTAAAATTATATTAATATTAGTGGTTGTTTTATAAGACAATGCTTTTATTTCCTCATTTATTACTGTGAAACGCATTTGTTCCAAAACGCATTCGCTATAAGAAACGCATTAGCTCTGATAGAAAAAAAATTGCTTCCAAAAAAAATTTCTTACTTTATGAATTAATAACAAATTATAATCTGACATAATAATTTAATTAAATAAAGCAATAAAATTATAATTTTGTTACTCATTTCAGAAAATATAAACCTCTACAATTTATTAATATCAATTTTCAGTTATGGAACGCACCGGTTCACGAATTACCGAAACTTGTGATATCGAAACGTGAATGAAAATCTGAAACGTTTCATTTCAAAGGATTAAATTTTTTTATTGTGAATTATTAAAATTAATAATTTTTATTTTAATAGTTCGTAACTTAAATTTAAGAAGAATTGTAATAAAATTTTAAGTTTACTAAGATTTAAATGTAATGCTTTTCTACACTTGTACATACAATTGAAAAAAACATTTTTTTTTTTTGCACAAAATTAATTGTTCAAAAAAAAAAAAAAAACATTGCAAAAACAATTTACATATTTACCTGGTGTCGGTGTCAAATGACCCGTTGATGATGGTCTTGACATTACCAAATGTTGTGGATGACTTAAAACACTTAAATTAGCAGCAGTTGTTTGTTGACCGCCAGCTATCACAGCAGCAGTATTCATTGTTGTTATTGATATGGCACCAGTTGATGTTTGTCCAATAATTGTGCTTGGATGATGATGATGATGGTGATGATGATGATGATTTTGTCCAATAATTGTTGAACTATTACCACTGGGTCCGCTACCACTATTACTACTACCACCGCTTGTTGATTGTGAATGATCACGTGGTGGTGAAACAGGTTCTGATTTCACTTTAACTGATACTGGTGATGTTGATGGCGGTGGTGTACTATTCGATACAGCTAAATGTGGTAGACCACTACAAAATGTAAATAAAATGTTTAAATTGTCAAAATTCAATTTGTTTTTTTTGTTAATTACCTCGTATGTTGTACTGTAGTTAAACTGGGATGCGTTGTCCATGATGGTAAACTCATAACATCTGAATTCATTGAGAAATCTTGTGGACCAAATGTACTTAATGAATAATTCTGTAACGGTATTGGAGTTTGTAATGTAACTATTGGTGTGTTTAACGTTGACTGCGTTTGTCTCTGCTGTTTTTTTTTTTGTATTAATTTTTTTTATTTGTTTTGTTTAATAAATTATTGTTGAGTGAAAAAAAAATCAGAAAAACAAATGGAAGCGTTAAAACCCAAAAAAAAAAAAAAATGAAGTAAAAAAAAAAACAAAGATAAAATAAATATTAAAAAAGAAGAAAAATAAAATTAGTAAAATTGAGTAAAGTAAACAAAAAAATTTTTCTTATAACAGTCAGAAGTAACATGACAATGATCTGATGGCAAATGATTCACAGTAATTTTAATGTTGAGAAAGAAGACAATGCTCACAAGAAATTATTTGTGATTTTATGAGAAATTTATAATTATAATTTCCAATTTAATTTTGATGATTTTGAATAATTTTGCAAATTTTGAACATTTATGTGAAATGGAAATACTAAATATATTATGATCTATTATACCGTCGAATTTATTGAAAGTTTAACGTCGTATGCGCTCAATTCTGAATACACGAAAATAAAGTGATGCGAGATATTTCTCACCAACAAATGTAATGTAAATAAATTTTTAAAATTAGAACATAAATTTAGCCCATTATTCACTATAAATTTGAATAATATTTGGGCATTAAATCTCTCTGACTACATTTGTTCAGAAATTAATATTCTGCCAATTAAATCGAAGATTTGTGAGACTCACAATAGTAATTCTAGATTTAATTAAATTTCAAAAATTTATAGTTGATAAATGTTGTCACAATATTGAATTATTAGGAAAAATAAAACCAAAAATGAATTACAATAAAAATACTTAAAAAAAGCATTCAACTTTAAAAGGGTTAATGAACTGTATTTTTGAAAGCCTATAATTTTGAACATTCACCTGTACATTTTTGTAATTTTAATAACAGTAAAATAAGGGAAAACAATTGTTGTTTAAAATTTTTACAGAATAGCATAAATATTTGCATTAAATTCGTAATTTTATTTTTTTTTGAGTCTGCTAAAAATCATTTGCAAAATGGTTTTTAACCTTTAAAATAAATAATAATTTTTTTTTTGTTTTTCTTCTTCATCGAGAACATTTGTTAAAATAATGAAAAAAAAAAATAAACAAAAATATGCACTGTACACACATACGCGTATTTTTATAAAAAAAATTATTTTTACAACATTTCCATTAAATTAAACAGTTTACATTTGTATATACATATTAATTGCACATATATTCAATTAAAAATATGGAATTTTGGGAAAAATTTAAAAAAAAATTTTGGAACACCTAGTGATAATTAAAATGTTCAAGTAAAGTTTTATAATTACCACTATAAACAAAAAAACCAACAAAATGTTAATAAAACCAATTAATTATATTTAATTTATTAAAATTAAAATTATTTCAAAATTATTAAAAACAGGTTAAATTTAATTAGAATTATGAATTTTAATCTTGACATAACAAAAATTAAGAGACGCTGTTCTTATTTAAGAGAAAAACAGTAAGAAATTTTTAAAAATCTTAAATTTTTTGAATAGAAATGCCCTACTAAAGCATAATAATTTCAAAATTGAACACAAACTACTTTAAAGTTGAGCCTCTTTACAAGATTCAGTCATTTTTGGAAATTTTAAACTTAAAATATTTAGATATTGAGGGGGTGAAACATGTTCTTAATTTTTATATGAGGCGCTCATCAGCACATTAGTGGACTATGCAACATTTTCTGCAAAAATGAGTTATTATATTCAATAGAGCCTATAATGGTCAAAAGAATTTTTCTAAATTTTCTTAAAAATTAAATATTTCAATCGCAATTTACTCGAAATGTCTCTTTTTGCAAGAAAGCCGTGCTACGAGTCTCATATTAGAATCTGTTGAATTTATTAAATTTTATAAAATCCGAAAAACTTGAAAACTATTGAGAAGAATGAATAGCTTGAAAACTATTAAAATATTCTTATCAACTACTCTTTATTACAAGCTGATATACTCGTAGTATAAGTAATGCTCTGCACGCTTGGAAGGCACTAGTAATGAAAGAATAAACATTTTAAATAATTTTTTCATTTGCTTTCTTAAATTGAGCAGAATCTTTAAAAACTTTTTCTTTCTTTCTTTAGTTCTAGTTCTTTAATCTAGTTCTTTAAACTAGAATTGCAAAGATATAAAGGGTTGCATGTACAAATTTAATGTATAATTCTGAACTGCATTATGGAAAAATTTATTTGTAAAACTTAGAAGAGTTTTATTCTTAATCTAATTTGTTTTTTAGAAAATTAAAATATCATAGTAGAATCTCTAAGCCCTTAATTGTTTTTTGTATGCCAAGATTTTATTATTAAAATTAAAAATATTATGAAAACAGTTAACATATAATATTATGTAATGTTAAAATATAATTAAAACCTTATGCATCACATATTTAAGCGTGATTTCCTTACAATGTATGAATGTATGTATATATACATGATTAATATAAATTGAATTGTTAAAATAAAAAAAAAATAATGATATTAAAAATTAAATACATAATTTGTATGTATTACATTTACGAATGAATATGTATGTAAATATTTTTAATATTCATTTCTCAACAGATTTGATTATTTATAATGGAATAATTATGTAATAAAACATAATAATTCTTACATATTTTTGATATGAACTTACGTCTGCGTAGGTAATATCTTCTGGTGCTGATATATTGGACGCCATTGTTGGAGTTGGTATTACCACTCTTAAATTGGAAGTTCTACCACTAGCATTAACTGGTGAATGTTTTATGTGATGTGCTAAAATTAAAGGATTTCATATATTAAAAATTCGGAATTCTCTCAGTTTATTAGAAAATTATTATTTTGCACAAAAATGTTAGATAAAAAATTAAATATCACAGGCTTGTTTAGTATCTTCATTTCTAACTACTTTTAAATTTTTATAAAATTAGCTTCTGGTATACAAAAGAACTCATTTAGAACTCATTTTTTCCACGCTTTTAATTTTTAGTATTTGTATAATGTTAATATTCTTTAAAAAGACGTAGGGTTAGATATAGGAGCACAAAACAATGTTAGAATTACTTTATAGTTTATTAGTGTAGGATTCAGCTTAGTTATTGAATTCAAAATGGTTAGAAATTTGTTTAATTTGAAATATTACATACAAAATTTTACTTATTTTTTTATTTATACAGAGTTTATAACGTCAAATATTCCTTCTGGATAGGGTTGTCGAATTCCAAAATTATTTAATTATAAAATAACTTTGTTTCGTTTAGCTAAATGCAGCCGAAATGCTAACATTGCTTATATTGTTCTTAACTTACTGCATAATTCTTATTTTTGAAAACTATAAGAGGTTCTCTTCAGTTAAGTCTTACTCGTACTAATTATACGTACTTATTAAAAATAATTTTCTAATTTTTTCTAATTTTATATTAAGGAGTTTTTTTTTTAATAATTGTTAATAGAACACACAAAACCATGCTTACATTTACTGTGATTATGCCCACCTATACCAGGACTTGGACCTGGACTTGGAGAACCACCTAACGGTGATGCTGAATGTGGATAACCATTTGACATTTCTAACATTGAACCTGCCGGATAAACTATAAAAAGTAAAAGGTAAAGAAAAACAAGAAAATTAATTATTTTTTATTTTTAATTTTTTTTTAGAAAACAAAAACGTGTATTAGAAGGAGAACGGTAGGTCTATAAAAATTTTCAATAGAAAAAAATAGGAAATTTTTTTTTGAAAACTGATTGCGGGCAGATCACTGATAAATGTAATGGTAGTAATGATTCAGAAAACTTATAAAAATTTCTATGACGGAAAAAAAAGTTCCAAGGGGTTAAAGAGTGAAAAAATGTTATCAATGACCTGATGGGAACACGTGTCTGAATAGGAATCTAAATAAAATTTATTGTATTTGAAATTGCAAATAATTTATTCTCATTTACTTTTCAACCATAATTTCGTTTGATATTTGTCACAATTAGGTTTAAGATAGTCATATATATTGACCGAAGTATTGAAATTTCTATGCTCAATATTATTTTCCTATACATTTAACTTAGTATTTGGCCAACATATTAAGTAAAAGATTTCACATACTTTCAAAGAAATTAATCTAAAGCTCTAAAAAAATAATCGTGGCAGACAAATGACAAAATAATAACGTGAAATCTCTTGCTCATCACACACATCTTTCATTAATTTGTATTTAATAAAAACAGTTGTTCAAATGTCTGTAAAATACGGCAAATCAAATTGAATGTATTTGAGCATGAAAATTTCACCGAACCAAACGTAATTTTGTACGATTATAGTAATTACATGGAAATTCATTTTCTTATGGATACGAAATAGACACGGAATCAAATAACAATTTATTTAATAAATTTTTTTTTTTTTTTTTTCAATTTTTTAAATTTTATGTTTAAATTTACCTGAATCTGTTTCTGAACTTGATGGCCTTGGACTAATATTATGATGAGCCATTTGTGGACTAGCTTGTAACATTGCTGTTTCACCATATGCACCAGCAACTGGTACAGATACTGGTAATGTATAATTTGTTGCTGACATACCAACACGTGCACCAGCTGCTGCTATTTGATTTCTTTGCATTACTAATTGAAATTCTTCTTCCATTTTATTATATTTGGCTTCAGTTCTTGGTGTTAATGTATAATCGGCATCTTGTTCTGGTGATTCTGGTGACATAACACCATTCTTATTCTCTTTCTTTAATAGTCCCTGTAAAATAAGCGGACAGAGCTCACAAAATACAAAAACAATTTTTTTCAAAAAATTTTTTCTTGAAAGCACACACTTTTTTTGATCATTTTGGCATTTTGGTATATTTTGGTATATTTTGGTCATTTTATTTGATGATTCTTATTAAAAAATTTTTATTAATTATTTAATTGTTATTAATTTTGTAAATTTTCTTTTAAAAACATTTTAATATTCAAAATGAAAATAAAGACAATTAAATATTTTAATATTAATTTTAAAAGCAAAGCCATAGTTGTTAAAATTTTTATAAAAATTGTAAAAGAATTTTGTACCTTGTTTAAGTACAAATACAAATTCATTTTTAGTAAAAAAAAAATAAGTACTTTACTTTTGCAAATTGTACTTTATTTATAAAGTACCATTGTTATTGTAATTACAAATTTTGCCGTGATTAGAAAATGACACAATAAAGTCAAAAACAAAACAATTATTTTTCAAGGAAAAACTTTTTAAAAAAATATAAATTTTTTTTTTATTTATTTAATAATTTTTTGTTAAAAATTTTAAAATGTGGGTATATAAAAAAAAAATAATAAAAATTTCTATTATAAATAAAAAGATAAGAAAAATGCGGTAGTCAAGGTTTCATTTTTGATAAATTCTAGGAAATAAATCTCATTTTTTTTTTGTCGTTCTTAATGCAAAAAAAAGGAATTCCATTGAAATTTGTCATAATTATGAAGGTATTAAATATGAAATTTACTTGTGCGATGCTTTATTACACAATAATGATTGAGCAATTAATAATTTTTAAATTTTTAATATTTTGTAAGCAAAAATTATTTTTCAAATAAAAATTTTTCTATTTTGTGAATAATTTAAGATTGAAGAACAACAATTGAATTTTTGACAATGAAATTTTTTGTCTGTACATTGTCATTTTTAAATTATTATTAAACTAAAAAATAAAAAATAATTTACACCAAAAATATTAGAGTAAATTGAAAGTGGTATTGTTGTCAAATTGGAAAATTCTACAGAATTCATTATTATTCAAAAATTTTGTATATACTTTTTGAAAATTTCAATAAAAATTTGATTTTCTTCAAAATTTAATAATTTAAGCTTAAAAAATTTTGCAATTGCTTGTCAAAATATTCACAATATTACGATAAATTGAATTTGTTTTGCAAACAATTGACATAATAATGAAATATTCCAAATTTAATTTGAAATTGTTTAAAATTTATAATAATAATGAATTTTAAAATTATACGAAATTCTGTTATATTAGACAATAAGTGGCCACAGAATGCAAAATGTACAGTAAACTATAATATCGATTATTGCAGTGGAACCTGGATAAAATGTTCTTTTTCGGGTCCTTTGAATTTTCTAACAAAATCTCCCTCTATAAGAGTACTCTATAAGTGCAATAAATTTTGCAATACATTTCAGTACATTTTTACCTTCAATATTTTTGTGATTATCTCTTTAATATTGGTGATAATTTAAATGCCGGTTTTGATTCACGCGTAACATAAAAAATGCCAAAATAAGAAAACAAAAAAAAAAAAGTATTCGTGACGTTTATTGCGATTTTGTTTTTCGAAAATTCTATTGGATTTCAGACAATCAGATGGATCAGTTTAAAATTCGATTAGTGAGAAACCTCTATAAGTGGAAGAAAATGTTCGGTCGCTTTAAATTATCCTTATCCAGGTTCAACTGTAGTATAATTTTCCGAAATTTTCGAATTATTCTTAAATGCATTATCATATCATAAGTAAGAAAATTTTCCTCGTTAATCCATGTGGCAATGCCAATTAAGATTTCTTTTTTGTCACTATAATAAATAAATCTATTTACCACATTTTCGTCTCAATAATAGAAATTTTTAAATTTCAAATAAAAAATAATTAATTAATTATAAAAAATATTAAAACAAAAATAGAAACAAAAACTAATTGTATAAATTTAATTTTCTTGTTACGGGAACGTACCTCAATTATATTTTTATTTGTTATTGATTCATGTGGTTCATTATATTCTGTATACTTAAGTAAAACTTTATCCATATCAGTGCTAGCATATTGATATAATTTATTACTTGATGAAAATATTATTAGAGCTATTTCACAGTCACATAGAACGGATAATTCATAGGCTTTTTTCATAACACCAAATTTACGTTTATTGAAAGTCACCTGCAAAAAAATTTTAATAAAAAAAAAATAAAAAATAAGTAATTAATTTTTAATTATTTTATATATAAAAATTTTTAATTTTTAAGTTATCTATTTAATTAAATTAATTAAAACGAAAATAATTGCAAAAATATTGGACTTTTCTAGCAAAAATCTAGCGGAAACAGATGAACGATTCATTATAGTTTGTAACATCGTATAGACTTTTATGGAGAGCTACAAAACCATGGCTAAAAATAATATTAAAACGAATTTAAAATAAGAGATTGCATTCAGTATTCTGCAATTTTTCAACGTATTGGTAATATCGCCGCCTACATTAAGTATGCTTGTATTGTGTTGCAAAATCTATGAAATTCCAGTAACCATCCAAGTTTGAATTCATTCAGTGGTTAATGAGCATAATGAGATTGGGTAATTTTAAAGAATTTAACTCAAAAAACACATCCCATCGTTAACGAATCAATTTTTTCCAAATGTTATAATAAAAGCGTAAAAAATCAATTTATCTATATTCCAAAATTATTATTTACTATTACGGTATACAATTGCAATTCTTCAAACCTCAAATAAAGAAAACTTTTTTCCAGAATAACAAAGTATTTTGTATGAGATTTTCCAATGTACTTTCTCTTTAACTAATACTTATACATTATATAATTTTATATATGAGTTCGATTTTAGCAATAAAATTCCAAGATCGCAAAAAAATAATGTATAAGCAGCACTTATGTGTATAATACTCGTATTTTCACTTTTCCATTATTATTATTAGGATTGACAATTTACAAAGTTTATCAATTAACCTTTATTTTAGACCTATGTACAATTTATATATGCACATATATACACACATATATGCAAAGATTAAATATATGAAAAATCAATTTTAAATTTTAAGAATTTTCTTTACTTATTTATTTATTTAGGTTAGAAGTAGGTAACACATTACAATTAAATGTAATTGAAAATAGGTTTTATTTCTAAAGTACTATATTATTATAAAAATGGAAAATAAGCAAAGCAAAGGTATCAAAAAAAGTGAGCATCAACGAGAATTTTTATAGAATTTGACATATTTCAAGATAAATGATATGGATTAAATATTATTAGAGTTGCAAATTAATGAGGCCAAATTTTCTTATATCAAAAAAATATCAAATTCTAAAAGTGAAATTGCAGAAGAGCATCCATTATTTAATATCAAAGTTAAAATGTAATCAAATGGAAATTGTTATAAAAGTGAAAGGAATGAATTCTCATTTAGGAGAGAATAAATGAGTAAGAATTATTACAAAATAATATTAAAAAAATTTTAAATAAAAATTGCATATCTGTAGGATGAGAGCATAATTTACAAGAAGAATTTGCATAATTTGGTCGAATTTCTTTAATTTAATAAGGAATTAGGTCATGTAAAATAAAATAATTTTCTTTTTGAATTTAAAGTTATTAAAATTTTAGAAAAGTTGCAATTCAAGGAAATAAATTGCGCTATCACGGGAATGGATAGAGACGCAGAAAATTAATTTTTATTAAACAACTTAATTTGTTTGTTAATGCCTTTATTTGTACGTTGTTTAATTAATTAGTTTGAAGTTTTCTCTTCCTCCTAGAGGTATGCTAGCATAAAAATGGAAAATAATATAAGAAAATAATTCCAACTAACCTAACCAACAGTCCAACTTAAAGGAAATTATGCTACTTTAAAAAAGATCAGCTTCACCTATACTCTTATAGTAAGGTCTAATAATTTTCTACCACCCTGTCGTGATATCGAAATCCATGTTAATGTGTATTTAACGTTTAATTAATAAATTATAAAAAAAATTACTTTGAACTTAATATCCATGATTCCATTGACATAAATTCAATCAATTTAAGGATTAAAATTTAGAAATTAACAAGAGTAATAATTTATTTTTGTATTAGTACCTTAAAAAATTCTCATTATTCCTATGCTCTTTTTATATTCATATAATTAAATTCCGATATATTATAGGAAATTATTTTTCAAAAATAAAATAATTTCTAATAAAAAAACAAATTCTAATTAGGTCCCTAAAATTTCTTGGATAATATAAAAATCAATTTGAATGAATATTTAAATATATTTAAGGTGAATTAATTGAATGATATTAAAATTAAGTATGTAAGAACATATTGTATGATAACTGTTATATTGATGAGAGCATTACAACATGGTGGTTAGAAAATTTTATTAAAAATTATCGTTTTTAAAAAATTTTACTGAATTGTTTATAACAAAATTTTTGTGCTTCTTCAGAAGAAATTTTGAAAGAAATTTTTAAGAGGAACTCTAGAAAACTAATGGGTTTCTTAATATTTCAATTATAATTTTGGGGAACGCGTCGAAATCTTTGCAGTCAAGCTCAAAATAATTTCCATACCATTAAATATTTTTCAAATGAATTCATTTTCATAACATGTTGTATAACAATTTCTATAAATGAATATGATGATAGTTTTATTATATAATATAACATTTACGAGTACAATTAAATAGAATTTTTATAAGAAATTAATAATGAGAATTAAATTAGACATCAAAAATAATCTCAATAGCTATTAACCTTATTTTTGAAATCAATGTAGGTAAATTTAATTTCAATATTGTTCAGTAAATTATATAAAATAGTTTTCACATTTCTATATTTAAATTTTACATATTTGTGTAGTAAATATTATTGTAATAATTAAGGATGACATACAAATTTAAATGGAAAGGAAAATAGTCCCGTTTATTTATCGATTTTCTAAATGAATATTTCATTTACACCCATATTAAAACTCCTGTATAAAATTAAATATAATGTAGTGGATAATTAAAGAAAAGTAAATAATAATTATTATTACAAAAGAAAAAAAAAAAGTAAAGATAAATCAAATTAAATTGTCTTATACTACATTATATCCCACCAAGTAATTCTGGGATAGGATAAAAAAATTCAAGGAAAATTAAAAAGAGTGAAAGAAAGACAATTAAATTATTAAAAAAGTAAAAGTAAAAACGAAAATTTTCAATTTCGTTATATTGCTTCAAGTTATTTGGAAATGAATGACATTGAATAAGAAAAAAAATATTCAAAAAAAAAAAGAAAAAATAAATAAATATCCTTAGGTATCCTTAAATGTTGATCTTAATATTTAATTGTCGATGACAACTGAATTTAAAAAATCTTTAATATTAAATATTCTTTACTTTTGTTTTACTTTTGTATAATGAATTTTTTAATTAAAATTTAAATTTAATTCAAAATTATTATTAAATATTAAAGTATTTGCAATTAATTTGTAATGTAAAATGAGAGCAGATCTAAATTCTTAAATAAACATCTTGTGGTTCTTCTCAAAAATCCACATTTAGTTTTTTTAGAGGAAATAAATTTACACAATTTTAAATCTTGAAATTTTGAAATCATTTTGCTTTCTAGAGTAACCTATTGCTTATGTGTAAACTATAGTTTAAAAATATAATAAGTGTAGTTTAAAATTTCAATTCACTCAAATTGACTCTAAATTTTTGTTGTTTTTTAAATTTAATAAACTAATGCTTTTGGTGTTGAATTTGGTGGTGGATTATTTGAATTTCTGATCTCATTAATGTTTTCAATGCCATTTTAGGCATCTATCTCGCTATTTTATTCGGCAGGTGAGAAGAAAGTGAGTAATTATTATATATTTGTATAATGTAATTTTCGACTGAGAAGAATTCGGTATTGCGTATCTCGTTTTTTTCTAAAATGCGTACAAAATTTATTCGCTTTGTTTTTGAAATTGAGACGTTCAGTCGATAATCTGAGAAAAAAAATGTAAAAATTCATTTGGAAAAATGAGTAATTTTATTAGAATATCGAAATATTCATTATAGAAAAACCGAAAATTATAATTTGAAATTGAATAAAAAGTGAGTAAAAAAAGCGAGATATACGATTAGGGTAATGAACGTACTGAATTTTAATTAAAATTGTTAGTTTTTGTTTTTCATGAATTTTTAGTCTCCATGTGAAGACCTGACTAAGAAATTCATTAACATTGTATTTTACACATCAGCAGAAGATTTTGCAGTCTTAGTAAAAATTTTGATTATCTTTTTTAATATTTTTATCGTAAAGGTTTTGCTTTCTTCCTGAATCATATTTCTTAATTCATTTTTCTTTTCTAATTTGAATTTTTTTAGAAATGACAAAATTAATGTTTTTTTCTAATTCGGCCTAAACTAAATTTACAAACTCCTTGAATAGTAACGAAACTTTCTCAAATGAACGTAAAAGAGTTAAATAAAATATTTTAAATAAAAAATCAAATTACCAAATTTTTTCGTATATTAATGGGGTATTCCGAAAAAAATATTTTGCAAATTTATTTGTAAATTTTAAATTAATTACAAATAATTTCACAACAAAAAAAAAATTTCAAAATATATGGGATTCCCAAACAACATATTTTTCTTCTAAAAGTGAAAAACTCAGGGCTATACTAAGAAAATTGTCACTCAATTTTTATGAATTAAAAAAAAAATTTAAAAATTTATGAATTAAAAAATAAATATATAAAAATCATTTTTTACTCAATAATTGAAAAACAAAAATCTTACCTGTCTATTCCGTTCATCCGTAATTCTAGAAATTTGAATTTTTTTCCTACCCATGGCCGCAATTTTGACTAAATTTTTATTTTAACGTTAAAAGTTACAAAAAAAAAAGGAAAGAGTAAAAAGTGTAATGCAAATGCAAAGAAAAAAAATTATTTTTGTTTTTTTTTTATTATTGAAAATATTTTTCACTAATAATGGAAAAAAAAAAAATTAAAATTTCCCGAAAACAAAAATTTTTCTTTGGAATTTTTTTTTTTGTTTTTTCTTGTTGCACTTTAAATGTTTTTCTCTTCACTGTTTTTTTTTTATTTTATAAATTTTTTGTTTCTTTTCCCTTTCTTCTTACTTTATATGCAGAGTTTTTGATCCTTAAAAAAAAAAAATAAAATATTTTTTTCTCACAATTTTTTTTTTTTGTTATTGTTTTCTTTTTTTTTCTTAAAATTATTTATTTGGTTTTTTCGTATAAAAAAATATCACAAAACGAAAAATGAACGAATAACAATAACAAAAAAAATTTATATATAAAAAAAATAATGGTTTTTCTCTTGTATTTTATAATTTTTTTCTTTTCTTTGTTGTTTTTTTTTTGTTTATTCGAATAATTGTATTATCCTTAATTTGGAATATCTTGTTTTTCTTCTGTTTTGAATTTAAAGGATAAAAATGAAATTAATTTTTTTTTTGCCGCTCTTTGTTTCTCTCCCTTTTCTCTTTTCTTCTATGCCATTTATAATTGTATTATTTTTTTTTTTTTTTTTTTGAAGAGCAACTGAAATAATCTGTTTGTCACTGTCGCAGCAGTAGTAATTCTTTTATTTTTCCTATATTTGTTATTTTATTGTATATTGGTTTTTTTTTCTGTGTTTTGGTGTTTGTTCTTTGTTTTTTAACTCTAAAGAGAACTTGTTATTTTTGCTGTTTGTTTTTAATTGTATTTTTGTTGTTTATTGTATGTTTATGATACTGTTCATGCTGCTTTTACTTTATACTCTACGTTTTTACTCATTATACGTGTAGGTTGTCTGCCAAATGGTGTAAAATGGCAGTATGAGAAAATTATTTTTCTCGATATTGGCGCTTAAATATTGTTTACAATTATTGAGTTTGTTTGTTATGAATTTAAAAATTTAATTTAAACAAGTATTCATAGATGGTGTTGTTATTTAGTTTTTAAGAGAAAATTAATTTTGTTGCTTAATTACGTAATTATTGAGTGAGGTTTTGAATTGAAATTGTTGTTGTTGCTTTCAGTATTACAACAACAGCAATAATAAAAGTGTTATATAATTTTTTTATATTTTCTTATTTTCCTTATTTTGTTGGTAATAAAGGACGGGGTTTTTCTTTGTTTCTAGTAATTGTATATGAAAAATGTGAAAAATAAAAGTGAAATTAAAGAAGAACGATGAGCAAAAAAAAATTTTTTTTTTAAATTGGTATGAAATTTTTTTTTTTGTTTTCCTGAACACTTTGTTGCTATAATAAGAAGGATATTTAATTTGATTTTATTCCTTCATTCTTCATACTCTTAAATTCTGTTCTTATTCTTGTTGCTACTGCTGTACTCTTGATGATTCTCTTTTGTGTTAATCACAAATTTAATATAATAAAGGTGTTAAATATTTTTTTAATTATGAATTTTTTTTTTCAAGAATGAAAAATTTTGCTTTCATTTATTTACTTAGTTAGAAAGAGATGGCATGCATTAAAGCACTTTTTTTTCACTTCAATATTCAAATGTTTCCGCCTTCTCTCTTCTTTTTCTCTCCTTCTCTCTCTTTCTCTTGTTTCCAATATTTTCTTATGTTTTAATTTCGTGTTTTTGTTTCGTTTTGCTCCAAAACAGAAAAAAAATGTCTTTGAATCCTTTTTGTGTTAAATATTTTTTTTCTTCAAATATTTAGGCTCTTTCCTCTATAAAAACTCACTGTACAATTTTATATATATTTGTATATATTCTGATATCCTTTAAAAATTAAAGTCCTTTTAAATAATATTTGTGTTTGTTGAATACATATATATATATATATATAGATCTGTAATTAAATAAAGAGAAGGAAAAAAAAAATGAGAAAATTTTATTAAATTACTTACAGTTTTTAATTTATTATTTAAAAATTTATAGAATTATTAATTAAACTAAGATCATTTTATATATTATATAAGCAAGTATATAAGCAAGTATAACGAAGAGGTTTTTACATTATTTCGCTCTTATATATGTATGTATGTGAAATTTAATCACATACACATATGATAATATATTATATATAGGGTATAGGTAAGGTAGGTTTAGATTTAGGCACTTGTATACATTTAAAAATATTATGAATATTATATTTATAGGGATTATAACAAAAAAAAAAAAAAGGTAAATTAGATTATGATTTTTATGGATATGAATTAAATAATAACCAGTTATGTATAAAGGATATTTTAGTTACTTTTTATATATTATACAAATTAACCATATATATATACGTATAACAGTAATGTAAAATAAAAAAATATGTTGAAAATTTTCATTTTTATTGATATTGTATATTAGAATTAAGAATTTTTTTTTTTACTTTAGTCTTCATCATTTACACTCAAAAATCCTTTTTTTTTGGTATTGTTGTTGAATTTTAAGGATCTTACACGCATTTACAGTAAAACTTGTTTATATATTAACTATGCATTTCTATATTATTGTAGTTCTTAAGATTAATGAGTAAGAAATTTACTCTAGTGAATAGCTATTGGAAATAATAGTGCTTTTCATTGAAATTTGACTAATTCGAATCTTTATTGCAAATCAAAAAATCAAAAAATTTTGGAAAATTATGTAGACGATGCCAAAATTATATGGAATCGAATATAATTTTAGCTTTCATTTAATATTATTTTGTGCATTCTCCAAAAATTATAATATTATTTTGAATAATAAATTCTTGCAGTCAAATTTTTTCATAATTTTTAGCACTTTTCCAAAAATTTTTTAAGTTAAACGATCAGTTTTTTAATTCGACTTCTCATTCTTTTCAATTAAATTTTGTATTTCGCTCAGCACATCATTTAAAATTTAAAATATTTGAATGAAAATGCATGAAATGAAATTATACGATACTACCTGAATTTTTTTCACTTACTCAGATATAGAATCTATTCTCAAAATCCATGACAACGCGACAATTAAAATAAATGGGCGCAATGATTTCGGGACTCGGGAATTTAAAATTTTTACATTAATATTTCATGACTTTTATGTTGTTCATGCTAATTAATCAAGTCTTCCTTCTATTATATCAGACAAATTGCTTATGTCAAACATCAATTGACACGCAAATTAATATTGCATGAAAGAGTCAAAACAATCATCATTGACTGCGAATATCCCCTAGCAAAATTCTTTTTGCTAAGCAAAACCTCGCCATCGTTTGACTACTATCGAATTAGTCCAACTAGAAACTTATTAAATTTTAATTTTTTATTGTCGCGCTAGCAATTTTATACTGGCCCCGAAACATACTTGTGGTCACAATCTCCTGTTTTAGAATAGCGGCTCTAGTATTTATACCATTCTCTTATCGAATTGCAGAAAAAAGCAAAAAAACTGAAATGTTATATTTGAATTAAATATTTTGGATAATTGTAATTAAATGCATATTTTGAGGCGTAATGAAATTGTAATTGTTAATATTTAGGTGTATAAGAAATTTTTTAGAGTTAAATTTTTGAAGTTCTACTGTTTATTTTCTATATCTTCATTTTTTTTGTGCTATTATTGTTATTATTACTGTTCTTTTTTGTGCCGAGAACTTTTCCCTTTAACTTTTTTTTGTTATTCAGATTATTATTATTATAGTAAGGGTTCAAACAATTTGTTGCTTTGAATTGGTTTCTTAATTTGATTTTTTTTTTGTGTTGTTGGACCCAAAGTTTTTTAAAATCGTTGAAATCATCGTTATGATTACAATGAAAGTTTCTTATTTGTTATACGCATATCCTTGTATATATATACCAAATATACATTATTATTATATAAAGTATTTTAATATTAAATGTTAATATTTTTTAACGAGAAAAGTTTTTTTTTTGTTTTCTAAAACAATAAGGGAGGTACGAAAGTAAAAATTGTGGTGTAAACGAACTATTGAGAATATTAATAACATTCTTTAAATATTTATGTTAATTATATAATCCCTGGCAATTGACTAAATATAATTACTTACATATATATATATGAGAAGAGAAACTAAAAAGCAAAAACAAAAAAAAAACAAAAGGGAACAGAACAGAATAGAAAATTATTGACTCAAGTGTAAAATAAGGATATTTTGTAATTAATTAATATTTAATAATTATTAAGTGCGTATATTTTTTGTGAATTTGTATGGGTTAATGTTTGTTCCTAGGTTATTATTTTGTATACATATACATATGTCCTTCGAATTAATGGCATTTTTCAGAGGGTTAAAATTATATTGTTTTTTTTTTTCTTGGTTTATTTTTGTTTCTTTTTATTTTAATAATGAAAAATTTTTATTTAATATTCATTTATTAGATTTCTGGTACAAGTCTCTGAATACAAAAAACCAACCTATTATATAGATACATAAAATTCAGTTATACATGTATGACATACTGTAAAAGTTGTGCGGTAAGTTTGTCATTTTAATAAAATAAAATCCCATTGCAAAAAAAAAGTAAAAATTAATTTTCAATTTAATTATATAACACTTTTGTTTTTTTGTTTTCCTCTTTTTTTTTCTAATTAAAAATAATTTCATTTTCATACTTTCTAATTCTGCAGAAAAATTGGATTTTTTAAGGAAGTGAGAGTTTTTAATGGAATTTAAAAAAAAAAATGTTTTTTTTTTTCAAAAGTTTTTTTGGATGAGAATGGTCACTTACGCAGGTATGAGCATTTAAATTGATTTTTTTTTTCATATTTCTAATTTAAAATTGTTTTTGTTTTGAAGAGAAGAAGAAAGTTTTTTTTTAATGAAAAACTCGGTATATGATAAATTATAAATAAATTTTGTAATTTTTGGAATTGGTGTAATTTTAGGAAAAAAAAAAATATCCGTAATGTTCAAGAATTTACGAGTACAACCAATTTGCTTATTGCTAATTTCCAAATAATCACATTATTCTACAACTTGGGGAATTAAAGTTGATTAAACATGAATTGAATTTCAGCAGAAAAAATTTCATAAATTATGGAAATTATTTCACATTTCATAAAAAAATTATGAATTACAAAAAATTTATTAGCTTTTAACTGGAAATTTTTTTAATATTTACGGCATGTGGATTTCATTCATGAATAAAACAAAGTATACCATCTTTATCATTTATCAATAAAGTTGTGGAAATCAATTAGTGTAACCTTTATAAATTCGAGTTTGTCATATGGTTTAACCAAATATTATCTGTATGAAAAATTTAATCTTCTAATAGCCTCTGTTTTCGTATTGTGATAAAATAAAGGCGTCATAATTACAACAAAAAATTTAATTAGAAAAAAAATTTTTAAAAATTTACAAAATTTTTCTAAATATTGAACGTATATGTGCATGTAAATTTAAATATGGAATAATTGAACGCTATATTATATAAAAATTCGTTGAATTTCAACATTTAAATAGCTTTACATTTAATAATTTGAGCATGGAATATACAATAATTCTAATAATTTTCAAATTTTTCTTAAAGCACAGATTTAAGAAATAAAAAATAATAATTTTTCGAATGTAAAATCCACGTTTTTTTAAAAAAAAAATTCAATTAAAGAACAGAAAAATATATTATATAAAATTGCATATGTTCAGGCGTTTTGTGTGAAATGATAATTTGTTTCAAATAAAAACAAATTATTTTTTCGAGTTAAACTAATCTTTATAGGGAAGAATTTAATTTTTTATTTAAAAAATATTATTAAAATTTTGAGGATAGCTAATATTTTTAAGAATTTAAGCAAAAATTTCATATTTTGTCCATATTACATACGAGTATTGATGCATATCCAAAGGGCTTATTACTTTTAACATGACGAATTATTGTATTTTATTAATTTTCATGAAAATTCAAGCAATCTAAAACCTAAAATCTAATATACAATTGCCATATATAATAAAATGTGTTGTAATAAACACTTATCTTAATAAACGCCTTCGTATATGCGAGAATTTTACAGATCTAAAACATAAAAAAACACAATGAGATTTTGAAAATTTTAAAAAAACCTTGGTCACTTTTATTTCAATGATAAGGCCTCTCACAAATTAATACATGAATACGAAGTAGATAAGTGTGGAAAATAATCTTTCCTATTAAAAAAGAAAAATTAAAAAAGAAAAGCATACAAAAATAATGCTTTCTTTTTTTTTTTCTTTTAAAATTAATGTCCTACTCAACTTTGATATTGAACTTTAACTAGAATTAGTATTATTATACATACAAATGTATTATGTGTAAGTGTGTGTATATATATACTTAGTTTATATAATGTGCACATATTTAAAAAGCAATTTTTATCCTTTATTGTTATTAATTTTTCTCTTTTCTTTTTTTTTTTGCTTTTTCAACTTTTCACATGTGTATTTTTGCATAACTTATTTATTCCACATGAATATTATTTTTTATATATTTACTTATAAAAATTCAATATTGTGTGTGTGTGTGTTATTTTGTGTGTAAAATTATGTGTTATTTTCAAAGAATTTAATGAGACCATTAACGTATATTATAAATGACATGATTCTTGTAATATTCTTAAAACTTTAGTACATTTTATACAATATATAATCATAAAATAAACGGAGGCTAAGTATTCATTATGTAGACATAAATATGCATATATATATATATATGCATAATACATTATAATGTATATTATATATTTACATACAAATATAATGTAAATAAACAAAGATAAAGCAAAAATATTGAGAAATACAAAAAAAAAAAACAAGAGAAAATTGCATTGAAAATAATCGCGTAT